ACCTTATGATAGCAATTAGTTAGTTACATGATAACGAGACTGTGAAGAAAGCAATAATGAATCGACAATGAACTGAGGTGCGGTGGTCCGGGTGAGGTCAGACGACCGTTCGGATGGTGCCCGTCGATCGACTGCCTGTTGAGGTTGGTGGCAGCTGGGTGCCGCCCTTGCCACTTGGACCATTTTCTGTCTAAGGTCCTCGAACCTCTGCGGTACCAGTTGCTCTCTAAGGTCGTGGACCATCTGCGTTACCTAAAATTATAATGTAATTCCCGAAAGATAGCAAAACTCCGTTGGAAGGTTTGCTATACGATGCTTGTTTAAGTCGAATGCATGGAGCATGTCTAAAGGCTGCAAATTTTTTAGTGCCTAGTTTCATCGTTTCATGATATCGCACGGATTTCATCCACTGAGCTTTTTTCTTCTCTTTACCGGGTTCAGTATAACTAGGATGGCTCTAGTTCGCACGCCACTGCTAGCTACAGAATACTTCAGCGTAGATACGCTCACACCATAATTTTCTCCGAGCTAGAATCACCTGTTAATGACATAATGAGTTATTTGTAAGGTAACTGTGTCTAAACGTGGCAATAGTCATTACACCGAGTTTGCGATTAGAGAACTATGAAAATATACGCAAAGTAAAAGATGGAATGCGTCTGAAATAGAAAAATAGTAAAAAATTACACGTAATTTTAGCACCATTTATGCCGAAAAAGGCTTCCGAATATGCATTCGGATGAAGAAATTAGTTAGCCTAATATAATAGGGAAAATGAATGCAATCTGGGTTAGAGCACATGTAACGTTTCTAAGTTAACGATTAACGCTGAATGCTTTATCCATTGTCCTCTATCTTACATAAAATACTTGCAAATAACTATCCCTTAGAGAGTGCTCTTAACGTCTATTAGACATTTCCTGTTGAGCAATGCAATAGAATTAGAATGAAATTGAACACCCTAACGAAAAGGTATATTCAAGCCGTCAGTTCAATGTGCTTCCATATGTACTGCATTTAAGCTTATTTTTCATATTTTCGATTTAGAAAGGGATTCTGCACAGCCAAAGTTTAATTATCTGCTGGGGTGCCTGGCAACCGTTTTGCAGACCAAGCGCAGTTGAATGCCAATGGACACCTACAGGCGTCAGGTATATGGTTGTTGGAACTCTGTCAGATTTTTATTATGAAAACTTTTTTCTGCCTCATCCAATTTAGTTATAAGCGCTATTGTGCCTTCAGCTTGCTGTTTCACTGTTTCGAATGAAAGAGAGCTCTAATGCGGTTATGTCTATAAATTGCTTTCTCAGTCTAGTGTGATAAGAATATGACAGGCTTGAGTCTTAGGTCCAATGCTATATAGGCGCATGTTTAATCCTATCGGCTCATCGGTATTACCCTCCCTCGCTTCAGCCGATCCCCTGAGATTTTAATTTCCCTGTATAAAGGAAATCGGCGCCGAGTAAAAGTAAGAATCAATTTAGTGTTTAAGACAGTAACAAGTCGTTTCCAGTAATTACTCATATATTCGTAGATTAGTGCATAAACAAGAAATCACATTTTATCTTTCTTGACATCAGGCTGATTATCAAAATGTTTCTAAAAGTAATTTGATCAAGATTCTTCAAACAAAGATCCTTTCTAATTTCAGTTTCCCTTATCGGTGGCCCGCGACCAAATCCTGAAGAGGAGCGTGTGTTTCAAGAATCTACTTCATCTGTTTCGTAGAGACGATAGTATATTCACGGAAAGCGCCCTAAAATTACTTATCCATTCAATTTTATTCTAGATGATACGGTAAGTATTGCAAGTGCAGAGTTCCGAAGCAACAAAGAGCAGGTGGTCAGTGGGCAACTAGGCATGATACCTTTACAATGCCACATTCCCACCAATTTTGTATAACTCATAGCTACAATATTTCCAAAAGGTTAAATCATAATGGGAGGTAATTGAACTTTATATCACAATCTTTATTATCACCACCACCAACCACTGTATTTCAATAAAGACGTGGACATTTTATTACAAGTTCCGGGAAGGGATTGTTTTAATGTCAACTATTGGAAGGAAGGAAAATGAATTAAAAAAACTGGCAGACTGGTGTTGCCTGGCGTAAAAGAAATTTATATGGAAGGAATCCGAATGATATGTAGAAGATTTTTCTGAATCTCCGTCATCTTTGACGGTGTCCGTAATTTGTAAGAGCCTCGGTATGCTCCAAACTTTTTTTTTGAGCAAAATCACTTGTCTCGCATACTCACTACATTGGTACGTTGTTAGCACGCGTATGACTCTTTGCCACGATCGTCCTCACGGTTTCAAGTAGACGACTCATCACGTACGACTCCTGCTGCACGACATGAACTTGTTGATGAACAAATCATGGAGCGGGACGATCGAGAACGTGGACAAGGAAAACATCTGCCGCAACTTGGCGATTCAGACGCGCGGCGAAATAATGAAGGGTTTCCGGCCATACAAACGAAGGTGACTTCTATCGAATACAATTAAGACAATTACTATAACTGTTGTTTAATTCATTAAAGGACTGAATAGTTAATAAAAAATATATATGGCGCAACTGAGTGAGGAAAGAAGATTCATTATGCACCATTTCCTCAACAACGGTGCTATATATTTTATGTCTACGTCCATACTGATGAGAGTTTTCTCTAAGTGAAATAAGTTTCCTGTTATTGTGATTGGGAGTGTTAGCGTGTATTGGAAGAAAATTCAGACATAACAGCCTGCTATACTGATTAGGGCGTTATCACAATGGAAATCTGCATGTATTCGTTCTAAAATTGAATTTTCAGGAACCGACCACAATCACACCGCTTTAAACTGCATGAACAGATTGATCGTCTTATTGAACAAGAATCACCGCGTGGAAATTTACCTATCGTCTATTCACTGCCACTGAACGAAGCCAAGTTTGTTTTGTTTGGATATTAATCTCTCGACCTAGAGTCATTGTTATGTTTTGCTTTAGCTCGAAATGTTTGGAAATTTATTTCCTTTCAGACTCAGTGACCAATTAGAGCACTACCTTCATCACTACAAATATAGTGCTCTAACATTAGGAATTTCCCTTAGATCTGTTCTTGTTATACTGATTTCTCCTGCTGTATTACTAATGTTGTTTTTCCCTACTATTATCATTGTGGACCGCCTCCGCAGTTGGATTTCTGCCTGGTCAGGGTGATGCACATTGCTCGTTCCTAGGTACTAGACAGGCGAATCAAACATTCATTAAAAGCTTCGTATGTACTTCCCTGACACGTAGGTGAACATAGAGATTGGAGTTTGACACTTATTTCGCATACTTTTTCCTACTTGTCAAATCCCCAAAATCCTTCAATCAAACAACTGGGAAGTACATGGAAGGTGATTAAAAGTTAACTCCACTAAACAAGCTCTTCCCTGCTTTGCTGGATAGACTAGCAAGCTACTCGTCATTATTCTCTTCTTATTATGCTCAAGCTCAGTAAGCTTTACTTTGGAGTAGAAGCTAAGCACAATTCAAAAATGTGCTCCATATTTATAAACTCGAAGGAGCCATCGAAGCAGCGGCACTAAGTAGGACAAAACAGGCAGGCTACTCTAATTTCATGGCTATTCTTTGTTGGCTCAATCAAGAATGACTAAGGACGTTGAGTACCTCTGATGCACGTCCACTTGTACACGAGTTTTTAAAGAGAACATGATTATGCAGACAAAATAGCGAAGGTATGACGCCTTCGTCTAGCTGAGACAAGAAGCGTTATCCATTTCATGCTGTCAATGACACTGGACTCGGGCTGTTTTTCAACACCTTAGGCAGTAGAGATTTCGGCAATGTTAATGTTCTCGTGCACACAAGTCTCACTATGAGGATTGATCATTTGAACAATTAAGACCCGAATGGAGGCTTGCTGTTGACAGGGTATGAAGTATTACAAATCTGCCTGATTTTGTCGCTAATTCAGCGACATCACGTATAACTGAGGCGAAGTCGAAATATTCTATATGATGTTGAAGAAGTTCTGTAGAAAAGAGCACACTTCTCCAAGTTCACCATTCAAGAATTCAATGCTAAGACAGGATTCAGAAAACGTTTGAAAAACATCACATTTTTTAGATTATTTTAGATTCCACGGATTAGAATAGAACGAAAGGTGAAGAGCTGTCTGAGTTCATCATAACGACTACAATCATTCAAAGTAGTTCCCAGTTTGGGCAACTCTTCTCCATAGTGGATATGCTTGTATTCCAAAGGAGAGTAGCATTACCAAATAAACCACATCACACTGAGGCGCTGTGTTTTTACTTGATCGATGACGGCGTTGCTTCAAATTCCTCATATCATCTATTCGCCGCCGCTTTCATTCAACGTTCCATTTTCCGAAAGAGGAAGAAGCCCATTAGGTTCAAGATTCAAATTCCCAAAACGACCATAAACTCATTAATCTTATGACGACTCTCAAGAAAAAATCCGTTTTCTCAATATTAACAAAAAACCGACCTGTTAATGCGATAATGCCACGTTATCGCTTCGCAGCCTGAGAGTTAGGAAGTCAGCAAGAGACTTTTGTCTCCAGAAGCAACCGAGCTGATGAGTCAGCTTGGATTCGCACAAACCACTGGTAAACTCTAACTTACATCTGGGCTTGAAAAACTCTAAAGAAAGCGATGAAAGAAGATGTTGAGGAAAGAGCAGCAACAATTATTGCCGAAGATGTAGAGTAGAGAAAGGTCATTCTCAAGGCCCACTATTGCTTCGCTATTTACATAGCCATGATGAGTGTAATTCGATGCCTAGATGGTGCAGTTACAGCGTCCAGAATGGCAATGGAGAAAATCATCCACGACCATTGTTCCGAGCTCTTCAGCAGGCACGTCCTTTTACCTCCATGTGGAATAAAGAAGAATAAGATTAAATTCTTTCTATTTTGACTGCCACTTGCAGTGGTATGATCTTATAGTATACCCTATATGTGGAGTACTGTGAAAAAAACGATTGCATCAGCCGGGATTCGAACCCACATCTCACTCTTTACGGGAGCGTATGCTAACCATTGCACTAACCGACGCTCGCTTTGCACAGCACTCTTAATTACGCTACAACGCGTTGTCTGCCAACAGCCAACCGTCGACGGTCTGGCGGGGCAGCTGCTATCGGCATTGAGCCCACTTGTGTTGACAGACATTGGATATCGATAATCAGTCTAAATTCTTTCTATCTTTTCTACGCAAACGTTTTTGCACAGTACTCCACATATTGGGCATACTATAAGATCATCCCACTGCAAGTGGCAGTCAAATAGAAAGAATTTAGACTGATTATCGATAATCCAATGTCTGTCAACACAAGTGGGCTCAATGCCGATAGCAGCTGCCCCGCCAGACCGTCGACGGTTGGCTGTTGGCAGACAAACGCGTTGTAGCGTAAATAAGAATGCTGTGCAAAGCGAGCGTCGGTAGTGCAATGGTTAGCATACGCTCCCGGAAAGAGATCTGGGTTCGAATCCCGGCTAAGAATAGGATTGTTGTCTCATTGCTTCTCCTAAGAGAAACGTCAGCCAATTTCATCGGTGAAGAACCACCCACCAGCTGATCAATTCACTGACTCGGTCATTTACATGCTAGCTGCTAGATGCAGGGTCCCCTATACTACAAAATAACAATCTCGCGTTTTCTCCAAAATGGGAAACCTCTGCGACATCGTAATTATTAACCAAATCGCTTGCTGTTTATTCCATAAGTTCTTCACTCAAGCCTTCATGAACAGGATCGGCGAACACTGGGCGAAGGACAGCTGTACGGACAAGTAGGGTTTCGAAAGGGTCAGTACTATAGATCGCATTCACATATAGCAAGACTCACTAGAATTTGGCGAGAGTACGATAAATCGCGTTGTCTTGTTTCATCAATTTAGGGGAGGCGTTTGGTACTCTTGTAGTGAAAACATTCACAGAACTTTAGTACAACGAGGGTGTCCTTACTCAGTGCATGATGATTCTTTGTGAGCTATATAAACATTTCACACCCAAGATATTGCCGTTCTACAGTGCCTATTGCTATCTATCAAAAGGGGTCCTATAAGCGAGTACTGTCTCGCCACAGTTACCTAGTGTCGCCGTCCAGAACAATGCAAAATCCGAAATGGGAAACATGAGAATGAAATTGGTGGTTGACACTTACATCATATTCGCATTGTTGACTCTATCATCCAGAAAATGCTAATGAAATTTCCAGTGATTTTGCATTCTAGCTGCTGACGCACAGATAAAGTATTTTTGAGCAAAAAACGCGAAGCTGTTGAAAATCCTTTCATTTCAGACCATCAATCTAACTCGATCTGCCTACGCTGCTTTATCTAATGTCCCGGTTTGTTTTCGTCATTAAAGCAGTGGAGGCAATTTATTTGAGTCCATAGCATTTCAGTTTCCTGCTATACTCGATCGAGATGGAATCTGCCGATGCTCGTTGACATCAACCCACTGTTCGAGCCGAATGGTCGACATCATGACGGCCTTATGACAAATGAAGTGATTGTGCAATTTATGGCAATGTAAGTGGTAATGATCCATGGCATTGACTGTTTTTAAACCTCGCAATAAGTATTCAAAATATTTTTAAAAGAAAGAATGTTTAAAGCCTAAAGCAAGGTTGGTATGCCGGGCACCGGTGTTTCATACACCGGTGTTTCGGAGGTTTCGGCCTCCTCATCACTGACCCCCGCCCACATAAGCCCTGCATTGTAGCAAAGTGGGAGAAACATTTTGAATTTTTATCGCAAGATTTTAAAACGGACGATGCCATGGATCAATTTTGTTCTACCAGCCGAGATGCATCGACTGAGAAGTGATGATGGACCAGTGCCATTGTGCACTATGTACGCCTCCATCCATCTACAATGCATGGCTTAATGTGAAGCGTGGGCCACTGACGAGGAGGGCGAGACCTCCGAAACACTGTATATGGCTCTGACGTACCAATCTCGCTAGGCGTTAAACATCCTGTTTTCTGAAATTCTTTTGATAACGGTAAGTCAGCACATGGCGATGCATGTCTTTGAAATTTATTTAGGAGAAGGCCTAAGATATAAAAACAAACGAGATAAATAAAAAGCGTTAGTCAGTTCCTTGAATGTGTGCCATGCATTCTTTAGTTTGCAGTCTTCCTTTGAATGATCGAATTCATAATCTGGTCTTTAAGATGCTAGGTAGACTACCGCGCACCACATCAGTGCTACTATGCTCCCAAACAAGTCTGTACCTCTCAACAACCTCGAGATGTGGACAGCTTGGTACTCTTAAGCTCAGGGTAGAAACATCGACTATCGATTGCTTGGACTTGTATGTGTTACAAAGTGTTTTCTAATCACTGCTGCACGTGTGCCCGTACGACTGGTCGTGTGCTAGTTGACTATGTGGGCATGTGCGGACATGAAGACAAAATACTAAGTGGCAATCTTGATATATATCTTAGAGATTGGAAACTACTGATAGAAGATTGACTAGTTGAGAGTATTTTTTGCGCCCTATGTAATCTTCTGTTACGCTTTGAATTCATCTTGTCAGCTCCCCGTGTGATCAAATGACTACTCATAGAAATTTTGTTTCCTATCACAGGAAGCGAGGCGGTTCTCAAAAAATCCGAATTCTGAGGGTAGCAAATTTTTTTGCAATTCAAAAGGCCTTGAGCTACTAATGTATAACTTGGATGCGGATATTTGAATCACTAAGTTTAACTTCATTGATATGGGTGGGTGATCTTCATAGATGATGACAGACTCCAAGGAAACTTTATTTGACAATCCTACTGTCCCGATTTACACCTTTATTTTCGAGTGCTTTGTTTAGGCCAACGCTCGAATTTCAATAGATCCTTTCATTATTATTTGAGCCAACCTTGTCATCTGGTTTGGTAAGGGCTCTTGTACAGCCCGATACACGTGTTTTATCCTTACCAGACTCGTCAGCCGGGCAGAAACCCGTCGTCTTTCGATCTTTTCATAGTCAGTTCTCTCGGGAGCCTCACACTCCTTATAAAGAGTCATCGAAGACGAACGCTTTACACTCCATGTCAAGTGAAACCTTCACCCTCACGAGTGTTGCGCACTTCGATTGCTCTTTGGCTGGTATTTTTATCATAATGATACCTTTATTTCGAGTGCTTCGTTTAGACCACGCTCTAAGACGACGGTTTCTGCCCGCTGACGATCTGTAAGACAAGGACAAAACACGTGTATCGGGTTGTACAAGAGCCCTTACCAGAGCACATGACAAGTTGGCTCAAATATTGATGTCCCGATTTACTCACACAAAAGTATCCCACGATCTCTATATAGCCATCACTAGCAGTCCCTTTGCCTTTTGGTTTGGAAGCAATTCTTTCTGTTTGCGGTTAGGCTCCTCTCTAAGGCACATCTAATCGTAGATTTACTTTTACCTGCGTTTTTCCATGTTTTTAAAGGTTTTCGCAAATATATATATATATATATATATATACTATATATATATATATATAAGTATATATATATAGTATATATATATATATATATATATATATAATATTATATATATGGTATAATCCTGCATATGGTTTAACTATTCACTGAAATAGTTCCTATTTACAGTCTGTGTAATCACAATATCACTCCTGTACGAAAAGTGTTCTTCACGATGCAGTTCTATCGATTTCAACAGATCACTACTGAAGAGTTAGTGTTTTTTGGAAAATTCTTCCTTACTTATGAAGATGCGAAACGCTTAATGGTTGAATTTATTAATTAATGCTCTTATCTATCTTTGCTTACCATCATAGCAATGATTTTCGCTCCTGTTTGTTGGCCGATTGCACACTGGTGATCATATTACATACTCTCGGAGGGAGGAAAGGTGATGGAGTGAGGTGGCGCCGAGTGGTTAGTGATGCACGGTGTGAGGTTGATCCTCCCGAACACTCTCCAGCGTTCAATCAACGAACGCCCGAGGAACGTCTCAACCTTGCTATCTTCGTGATTTCAAGAAAATTTGGCCGACTATCATTCTACGACGTTCATGAAAACGAGATCTTCAAGCAAGCGATGAATGCAAGGAGACGACGAACCGATTGCTAGAAGTTTGAGATCCACACAACAAAATTTGAAAGCAAGTCGTATAGGATGAAAATTTGCCATTTCGCAAGTTTATAATTTAGTTTATTTGAGGCAGTTAGAGTCAGAAATCTACCAGCTTGGGGGACTTAATGTTAAGATGTTCCGTAGTGTGGAAATACCGCACCGATATGGCCTGTGAAGAAATTGATGAGCTTATTCAACCGCATTCAACCGCTTTAATCTCAACATCGCATTGAAAGCAGTATTCCCTTGATAACTACTACTTGTAGAGGAGCCGTGATGTGGTCTCTCGACGTCATCGTTCTACTGTTAAGCTCATAAAATTGAAAGAGTTTTTAGGAAATAATCAAAAAACCATAAAAAGTGAATTTAAAGCGACGTTAATTTTCTACCTACGACCTGTATAATGATATTGTGGACTAATTAGGTTAAATGATATGTACAATTTATCAAAAATCAAAAGAGCGTTTTATTAATTTAGACTTCTATTATCGGAGTCAACTACGGTCAATAATGAGCCAAGTATACTGAAACGCTTGAACACGAACGGTGGAAAAGTTCACGAAGGCGGCGCTGGATTTATGGTACTGCAGTTTCTTGTATATGTAGAAGAAACGTAGATATGCGTAGATTCAACAAAGATGATGTAGTGAGATTGAAGAGGATATATTGAGTTATCCCAATATTTCTTCCGTAGTCATGATTTGCACAGTTTTTCTACTTTGAATTGGGTTCATGTGAAAGCTGTAATATGTTTGAAAATGTTGTAGTACCTTCAGTCATCATACCGTAACATGATCGCTCACCATCTAAATAAGTGGAGTTCTTGGATACTTGTATACTTGGACGGTCCGTCTTCACCATTTGTGCGGACCCCAGCACATATTTCATTCGACTCTTTGTTGCGCGACAGTAGTCCATAACAGTGGTCCAATTTGCGCATAGCGGGTGGTGCGAATGTATTACC